CCTCAGTTCGAGCAGCCAGAATCAGAATATGGATCTGGCTATGGACGGAAGCCTCAGTTCGAGCAGCCAGAATCAGAATATGGATCTGGCTATGGCAGGAAGCCGGATAATGAGCGGCCGGAATCTGAATTTGGATCTGGCTATGGACGGAAACCCCAGTTCGAGCAACCAGAATCAGAATATGGATCTGGTTATGGCAGGAAGCCGGATAATGAGCGGCCGGAATCTGAATTTGGATCTGGCTATGGCCGCAAGCCTGAGTACGGGCAACCAGAATCGGAATATGGATCTGGCTATGGACGGAAGCCCGAGTACGGGCAACCAGAATCGGAATATGGGTCTGGGTTTGGCCGGAGGCCCGAGTATGGGCAACCAGAATCGGAATATGGATCTGGGTATGGCCGGAAGCCCGAATATGGGCAACCAGAATCGGAATATGGATCTGGGTATGGCCGGAAGCCCGAACATGAGGGAGCTGGATCTGAGTACGGATCCGGTTACGGCCAGCGGACTGAGTATGGGAGACCCTCCGAGTATGGATCGGGGTATGAACGAAAGACTGAATCTGAATATGAGTCGGGGTATGGAGGGAAGACAGAGTCCGAGTATGGATCTGGGTATGGGCGATCTGAGGAGCAGGAGTATCCAAAGCCAGGCTACGGGAGGCGAGCTGATGAGGACTCTGGCTATGGTGGTGAGGAGAGCTATGGCCGCAAGAAATATGTGAGTAACTTGTTTTTGTTGTTTGTATGATAATCTTTAATCGTTTAGACGACTTGCATTGAGTTCCTTGTTCAAATAGTATTTCTTCTGATTCTTGATTCTAGTTCTGGCATTTATATAGTTTCGTTTGTCTTGCATTATGGAATAGACTTTGTGTGATACCAGGGCATTGGGAACTTATGTTTCTTGCTGTGTTAATTATATGAGTTCCCTGTTCTCTCCACCAAACTGCAAAACAAAAACCATTAGATCGGGGAGAGTTCCGGATGTCATAGAGCCTGTCCCCATCTAGTGCTTTAAGTTAGTTAGTTCGGTATAGTCTAGACTGTGCAACACTTTTTTGCAATTATATTTGTAATTTGGAACCTAAATTTACGTGTGTACACTATTCGATTATTCATGTGAATGGTTTGTTATGTTGAACATGTATGTTAATCTGCACTTTTATGTCATAATTATTGCCAAACTCATGTCTTCAACAAAATATGAAATTGCAGGGGGATGATAATTCTGATGGTGATGAGGAGAAGAAGCATCACCACTATAAGCACCATCACCACAAGCGTTATGACGACGATGAGGAATGAGATTGCTGGTTGCTTTCTCAATGGAGTTGATGCCATAATTAGGTACTAAATAAAGGTCTGTTCTGATGGTATCAGCTACCAAACTGTGTTTCAGGAGTGTGAGTCAGACCATTGTGTGTGCCAATATGATATCCCAAACCTTTGGGTTGTGTTTTATACTATACTGCTTGTTACAGCTTGACTAAAGTTTGCTAGTTTGATATGTTGCCTTTGTGCATGAATATCACATTATGTTATATAATATTGGAGTGTTTTCCTCATGCATGCTATGTAGTACGAGCAAGGGGTGAAAACAGAAATTGTTGGAAAACAGATCATAAACTGAGAAAAAGAAGCATGTTGACTGTTGAGGAGGTACTTACAAACCGAATTTTTGTTTTTTCCTTTTTACTGGATGTGGAGAACAGTTGTAACTTCTGTCATCATCTAAATTCATTCCATTTAAAATGGTTGGGGACCCAAACGTAATAATTAAGAAGTTAAGGGGCTG